GTGCCTCCTTTTCCATAAGCCGGGCCCCGCCATTTTTAAATCCCGGCTAGTTCGAACCCCGTACTGCGCGGCTACACGCGGCATGGGGTTCGAACTAGCTGGGATTTAAAAATGGTGGCGCCCAGCTTATGCAAATGAAGCCCGGGAAATTCAAATCCCGGGCTTCATTTGCAAGTGCGGTATGCCTACATTACCCCGCTAGTTCGAACTAGTGGGGTAGTGTAGACATACCCTGGGACACTATCTATAAAGAATTGGATTAAGACTCCTCAAAGCTCATGTCACACAGGTCACAGTCATCAGACAGTAATAAACTTTTTGGCAACAAGAATAGAACTTAACTCAGTACTTTAGGCATTGTGGAGGCAACTCATCCTTGTGTAGAAAGCTAACACGAGGCCCAAATACAACTTCAGTACCACTTAGGCAGTACATAAAACTTGAGATTGTTCTCTGCTTAGTATCCTATTTCCTGAATCCACTAGTCTCCAAAGAAAGTAACATTTTTTCTTTTGTTTCTGTCTCTCTCTTGTGCACCCACAAGTTTTCTAAAAATCTGAAGAACAAGGGCCTTGTACCTTCTATTATCCTTTCCCACACATTGCACTTCGCTCTTTCTAGCTATTTACAATTTCAAGGATCATTTGATGTCAGCTAAATGCTTGGCAGATTTGGAATATTCCACTTTCACAAAACACAGTGCCACTCAAACTCAGCTCTGCGTGCAGAGGCACAAAATTCCTTTATACCCAAGTGACATTCTAACTACTGTAATGTGACAAGTAGCTCACTTCTGATTCTGTTTCTCTTATATATTATGACACAGTAGCTCTACATTTAAATTTTGCACATACGATTGCACATTTTCTCTACTGCTGAGGTTCTTAAGAAATATGCTGTGGTCCTATTGTGTGTGGTCGGTACTCTGTACTTTATTTGCACACCACCAATGAAGTGTTAAGGCCCCATTCTTGGTCTTCATTGTGCATTGCACATGGCTGTGTGCAGGAGGTCCATGACTTGCGACCACCCAAGTTCCAACCCCCCACACTTACAACAATTCTGGAAGTGCGGAAGGGGCCAGAAACCCCCGACATACATCCTTGGCCCACATTTATGATGGGTAAATGAAAGTTCAAGTTACAACACCCCCGACTTGCAATGCTTCCCCCCGTAACTGATCATGTTGCAAGTAGGGGGCCTCCTGTATCTTGGAAAATACATGTCACACTCAAGGTTAGTCTGTTAGGGTTTCCCTCAGACCTCTTCCACTCAGTTTCCACAGAAGCGTAATTGCTCTATATAGATATTAAGGACCGTCCTATTTAAGCTCTTCTGAAAAAGGTCACACATAATCACAGAACACTAGAACCGGAAGGGACCTCGAGAGGTCATCAAGTCCAGTCCCCTGTCCTCACAGCAGGACCCAGCACCATCTAGACCATTCCTGATAGATGTCTATCGAGCCGGCTCTTAAATAGCTCCAGTGATGGAGATTCCACAACCTCCCTCGGCAACTTATTCCAGTGTTTAACCATCCTGACAGTTAAAAATGTTTTCCTAATGTCCAACCTAAACCTGCAGTTTAAGCCCATTGCTTCTTGTCTTACCATTAGAGGTTAAGGAGAACAATTTTTCTCCCCCCTCCTTGTATCATGTTGTTAGGAACTTGAAAGCTGCTACCATGTCCCCTCTCAGTCATCTCTTTTCCAGGCTAAACACACCCAATTCTTTCAGTCTTCCCTCATAGGCCATGTTTTCTAGACCTTTAATCATTTTTGTTGCAGTTCTCTGTACCTTCTCCAATTTGTCTACATTTTTCCTGAAATGCGGTGCCCAGAACTGGACACAATACTCTAGTTGAGGCCTAATTGGCACAGAGTAGAGTAGAGTTCTTACAACATGCCTGTTAATTCATCCCAGAATCATATGGGGGCAGCCAGCCCTCAGTGCTGCCTGGACCATGCAGCGCCGTGTCCCCCTGACTCCTTGCCAGCTCTCAGCCGCCTGGAGTGCACCATGAGCGGTAGCGATAGCAGCGGAGCGCTCTGGGGCCTTTTGAATTGACAGGCTCTAGGGCAACCGCTCCTCCCTCTCCATGGGTGGGCCTGCATGGAGCTCTCTGGAAATCCTTGATTCTGTGACTTCCATAACGTGACCTAAACAAAGCCTGAGGGATGCTGAGTGAGACAGGGCTGGCAGCTAGCAAAACGAGCACATTTCTTTCTTGAAATGACTGTGAGGCCGTTGTTATTCCGAGCAGAGCCACACTTTCAATAGCCAATGTCTAAGCCGCTGCTCTGCCACTCTCTGGATAGAGGCACCAGGAATGTTTGTCTGGCAGAGGATCCACTACAACACAATGCCACCTACCTCCAGGTAGACTACCCAGGGCATCACCAGCGTCGCCACCAAGAGATCTGCCACAGCCAGGCTCACGATCAGGTAGTTCGTGGTGGTCTGAAGGGCTTTCTCCCTGGACACCGCCATGCACACCAAGACGTTGCCGAAGACGATGACAAAGATCAGGAGGGTGAGAAGTATGGCATAGTAGTTGTAGTGTGGCTTCTGGTCTCCATCGGACCCATTGAGAGGCTTGCTCCAGTTCCTGTTGCCAATGTCGTCATTGTACCAGGACAGGTTCAGGGGATCCATGAAGGTAAAATGCCAGAGGCCAACTCCACCCTGCCACAAAAGAGAAGCCAAATGTTACTCTCAGATCATGGGGTGACATGAGCTGCACACACCAGCTCATGGAGTTCAGCTCCATATTTGTGTGTTTTAAGCAAGTAAACCTTGCAGAGGCTATGACTTTCTGCTCAGGCACTGGAGTGCATAAACTGATGCATAAACTCTTGGTTATAATTGAGTCACTCAGACAAGCCACTGATGCCAACATCCTCAAAGGGAGTTAGGTGCTTCATAACAGTGAGGATCTGAGAAGGTTGACGTAAGATATGCAACTGCAGCTGCGTAAATTCCGTAGCTGGAGTCGACATATCTTACATCACGTTTCCGTGCCATCCACACAGCAGGAGGCCGATGCGAGCAAATGCTCCTATCAGCTTCCTTTACTCTTCATGAGGAGCAGGGGTATCGATGCCGACGGGGGCGCCCTTTGAGTTTGATCTAGCGGGTCTACCCTACACCGCTAAATCGAACCCCGGAAGATCAATCAGGGCAACGTCGATTTTCTGTGTAGTGTAGACATGCCCCCAGAGCCTGAGTTACACAGGTACTTAGCAGAGACAATACTTAGCTGGGAGGAGAAATCCTTGCAGGCCGCAGAGGTGCTCACACCTTACAGCGATGGTGCCTTGAAAATATGCTGCAAGGCAGAGAGAACCCAAATAAGTAAATCGTTTTTATGGACTGCTGGGTTCCAATGGAATCGGTTGTTATGGCCACTTCCGCAACAGGGGAAGGGCAAACCTCTCTCTGGTCAGAGCTTCCCTTGACAGATGCATACGTGTTTGGAGGCAGACCCCAGCCTTGTATAAACTAATTAAAATGGGAAACTCAGATCTTAAATACCCTTAGAACACCCTTTCTGCCTTGCAGTAATTTATCCACCAGTCTGCTAGGAAACACAACTAACTCAAACGGTTTTTCCAAAGCAAACAAAAGTAGCTGAACTTCCGGAACCAAGCACCTAACCTGCAGGGACCACAGTACTTGGCCCTCTACATGCAAGCCTGCCAATGCACTCTGTCCCAAAGCCCCTCAATCCTGACCTGCAGCATTCCTTGTTGTTCCATTGACCAGCCTCCTCAAAGCAGACGTATTAGAAAACGGTGATCTTACAAGGAGGCCAAATCACTCTCAGGAGAGTAGGATGAGATAATTTCGTCTTGTGTTTTCCAAAGCACACACCCAGGTCGAGTTCCTCCACTGTTGTGTGCCCAGATTCAGAGAGGCACTTGCTTCTTTGAAGAGAGAAGCCAGAAGTGCTCTGTCCCCGTGAGCTAGGGAACACTTTTGGAAACTAAGTGCTTCCTCTTGACTTCTCGGTCGATTCCTCTGATGGTGTAAATTGGCAGCGCTCCATTGGCTTCTGCCTCCTTACAGCTGCTGAGAATTTGCCACTGCCCCCCTCCCTCCAGCGGCTTTCTGCTCTCTTATTGCCAGACTAACCGGATCCAATGAGTAGAACCCTTCTCCCATCAATAGCACTGGCTAGTCCATCCTCCCTTAGTAGTGCTGATCCCGACAGCCTCCATCCACTCTTTTCTATGCTCCCCAAGCCTCTGGCTACATCACTGTATTGAAAAGAGACCCATGTGAACTATGACAGCTGCATTTAAGGGCCTGAGAACATTCATTTGGATGGACTCAAGGCTGCAAAAAAATCAAACGAGAAATATCCGGTTACAAGACTGACATTTGAAAACGCTGACTAACAGCTGGCACCGGAACTGGGAGGAGGCATCTCACCCAGTCAAAGCGCCAGCCTAGCGTGCAATCAGAGCAACTCCTAGCGTAGCTAATGCATTAAGCTCCTATTATCTTTCCTGAGTCGTTTTTCCTTTCATGCTTTTTAATGAGATTTCCTCTGCTTCACATTGGTTTGTTGCCGCTCTTTAAAACAAACAAGATAACAGAGAAAATATAAATAGGGCATCACTTTCCCAGTCCTTCCAAAGGTGCCAGTTCTAGTCAACCTGCTGGCAACAGCCACAACCGCCACAAAATCCCAGGACTGGACAGTCTCTGCTCACTCTTGAGACAAACAGCTGCTGGTCCAGCATGCACTGGCACCTGATTAGGAGTCACTTTGCCTTGCTGTAAGACTTCTGGGTTGGACCTATGTGCTTGGGTGTAGCTAGATCGCTCGGATCTCTGTGCTGCTCACTAGGATTCACGGTTTGAATGGGAGCCCTTCAAGGATAAACCTTTCAGAGAGAGGAATTGATGCTACTCGGGATGATACCTGAATTGTTATTGGACAGACTTGGTTCAGAACTGAGTTAGAGTGTGTCTACACAGCACTCTAAAATTGAAATAAGATACGCAATTTGTGCTATGCAAATTGTGTATCTTATTTTGACATTTGAAATTTGGCACATCTGCACAGCGTCAAATGCCACAATAACATGCTATTCCGAGCCATCCCTTATCCCTCATGCAATGAGGTTTACTGGGATGACAAAATATTTCAAAATAACGTGTGGCTTGTGTAGACACAGGTAGCTATTTTGATATACCAGAAGTATCCCGAAATAGCCATGCAGTGTAGACATGCCCTTAATATTCACTGAGGTGACATAAGCCTGAGGTAGAAGCCCATATCGTTCTCATCAACATACTATCCAAGTGACCCCATGGTGCTAAAGTCAATGGCAAAATCCAGTTGACTTCAACAGTAGCATGGCTGGACTTGTGGGTTATTCATATCCCGTGACAGGTTTTTTTTAAATATAAAAATAGGCATAAAATCCCCGATGGCCTTAAATTCTAATATTATTACTCCATTTTGCACCCTATCTTCCCCCTGCAGTTTCAACTGGAGATGGGAGTCTCCATCACATTTGTGTTCTAAAATGTTCGGTAATACCTCAAAAAACAACAAATAGTCCTGAAGCACCTTCAAGACGAACAGTGTCATGAGTAGATGGTGTCATGAGCTTTCGTGGGCACAGCCCACTTCCTCAGATGACTCCACCTGAGGCAGTATCTCAGTTTGCCAGCTCTCTGTGGAATCTAGTGTGAAATGCGTGACAAGAAAATTTAGATTTGGGGAGCTTGGAATTGTAAACGCAAGAGGGGTTCTCTGGTCCCTTTTAATTCCACATTTTGCCATGAGTAGTGTCCTACATCCAGGGCTCCAGAACCTGCATTGCAACTTTGATGCCAGGGCCAGGCAGGTAATGTGTATTCATGAAGTAAGGAGTCTCACAGTTGTCATCGTACAGTCTGGAAGAGAAGGTTGTTACCTTTTGGGATACTCTTTTGACCTAAGCTCCCACACTTGAGACGTTACCTAGGTTGCACTCCCATCACCTTTGCAAGCCTGCCCCTTGACAGTGGACTTAACAAAACAAGCTCCAGATATGGTGTGTCTTGAAAATCTTGATATACCTTATCTTCCATGTGTCCCAGAGTCCAACTCCTATTGTGTAAAATACCTCTTGCCTATGTCCTGCCTTCCCCAAAGCTAGGGTTCATAATAATGCTTGGGAGAGTTGGGTATATTCCTGCTCATGGTGCACATGCCAGATGGCTTATTAATACTGATGCAGGAATCTTATGCACACACATTGGCTACGTCTACATTGGCACCCCTTTCCGGAAAAGGGATGCTAATAAGACGAGTCGGAATTGCAAATCCACGGGGGATTTAAATTTTGCCATTGGCAAAAAGAACCCACATTGGGGGCACTTCCTTTACTGCTTGCACCTGATTTTTAGAGATGCTGAGTTCTTTAAAATGTCTCCCTGTATCTAGTAGCCAAAGCTCTCTCCGATCCAGAGAGTTTTCTTCAGTAGCTGGACTCCTCTCAGACTACATCGTTTCAGAACCAAGAGAAGATTAGCTAGTAGGTCAATCTTTGGGCTCAACTGTTCTTCATATCACAGATAAATGTCCAAGGTATCAGCTGATCTTTGACAAACCCCTTTTTTCCAGGGGAAAGTCTATAATCCATCAACTATCACTCGCAAAGGGATCAAAAGGAGCCTCAGTTAGCTCTCAGACTATTGCTTTTAGTACAGTCCCTGGCTGCTGAGTTTCCCCCTACACCTTCCATGCTGCTGTTCTCAAATTAATATCCAGACGTCAGTGGCATTTTCTTCCAGCTGGAGCCTTGGTGAGCACTTCATAGAATCATAGAACACTAGAACTGGAAGGGACCTCGAGATGTCATCAAGTCCAGTCCCCTGCCCTCACAGCAGGACCAAGAACCATCTAGACCATCCCTGATAGATGTCTATCCAACGTGCTCTTAAATATCTCCAGAGAGGGAGATTCTACAACCTCCCTCAGCAATTTATTACTGTGTTTATGGACCTTGGCAGTTACAAAGTTTTTCCTAATGTCCAACCTAAATCTCCCTTACTGCAGTTTAAGCCCATTGCTTCTTGTCCTATCATCAGAGGCCATGGAGTGCAGAAATCTACCAAAAGGCTTTCATGGGGATAAGGCACCTTACAAAAATGAGAAGCTCACTTGCAAGGATTCTGCTGCTTAATCATCAGTGGAATGTGATGTTCTCATCTTGGCAATGCCGTCCAAGCTAGGGATTGTTCAGATTGTCCAGGGAAGAGCCAAGATCTTTCCAGTAGAAGTTTTGAGTTTTGCAAGGAAAATTCTGTTCTAGTTTCATTGTTATTAACTTTCCTATGCTAGTGAACTCGAAGTACTGGGCCTGATCCAGGAGTGTGTTGCATCTAAATCAGTGGAGCCCAGAAGTGAAGCAGAGGTGAGCCAGGCAATTGTTAAAATGTGTCTCTAGTAAAGGCCATAATAACCGTTCTTTGAACCCAACCTTTGCCAGTCAGGTCATGCCTGTCTCTTACCAGTTGGAAAACTCTGCAGTTGTGTTTGTTTTTTAAAAGAAAACAAAAGTTTTAATGTAGTGGTTAGTGGCGCACACAGCTAAATGTTAAAGACCGAGCAGTTATTCATGAGTATGCAGACCAGTACTGGGAATCCATGAAAAATTCTGTGTCTGTGTCCTGAAAGCAGC